CCCTTTTTTAAAATCTTTAATCTGTGGAGTTAACAATATTTTAAACTTAATTCCGACCAAACGCAGTGCCTTTTGGTATAAAAAAATTTAAGTGAAGATTTCCATTTTTATGTTCAGGACTTCAGTCAATCAGTTTTTAATTGCATATATGCATCTTAACTGTATTGTTTTCATATCATCATTTGGTGACAAGTTTTAATTCAGTTTGGGTAGTGATTAGCAATGGAATACAGGAAGCTCGTTTCCTCATATTAAAGAATCGTCGACTAGATGTGCCTATTTTTTAGTGTTACCTTTCACAATGAAACCTAAACCTACTATCTATTGGTCCAATAAGTCACTAACCCCAGATGCCCACACTCCAGTTAAGTCCAATCCGTGTCGGATAGAGACAGGTATCTAATTCAGATAATGGGTGAATGGTTGCGCAAGATCATGGATCGATTGAAGTTAGGCATTAACACTGTTGGATGCTGACTCAATGGTCTAGAGGTAAAGCGTTCGCGCGTGAGATCGAAGGTCCTGGGTTCGAGTCTCACATGCGTGATCGTGGATACGCGGTACCGAAGAGTCTCATACTTGGACGAAACGGTTGCCCAGTGCTTCCAGTTCTTCAATGGTGGTATAGTTCACATCAACTATTAAAACTGCTACAATCTCCACAAACCTTCATTCTGATCAAAATGTTAAATCCTCAATAAATAACTAGTTTTTTTGAACCAGTGAACTACAATAATTTCATCTTAACCTATGGATTTCTGTTTAATTAATTTGTGAATTGATTAAACACATGGCAAAAAGAAACAACTTTATATCATTCTAACTAAATCATTTTTGATTCCGTTTATAAAAGACAATATATAAATTAATAAATGTAATAAGAACTGTTCATCATTCTCTCTCTTTCATTGATTTGATAAGGAAAACTAATTATAACCAGAGAATATTTGGAAATGTTCATAGTAAGAAGGTATATAGTCACAATGACCTGGTATCCATTAATTTATCAAAATAATTTTCTTTTTCTTATTTAATCACGTGCGCATAGTTAAAGTTTGTTTTGAAAAACATCACTGACAAAAACACGTGTTTACATGTTTCATTAGACAAGTTAATTGAATGCATAATACACGATCTATGATCTAATTTTCCGTGAAGACAAACTTTATTTACAATAATAATAACATAGGGATTTGTGTAAGACTGTTGAATTTTATAGTTTATATCATCGATTGGCCTTAGTTACAAGAATCAGTGAAAACCAGAAAACTAGTTTACTGAACCGGCATCCAACGCTGTTAATGTCTAACTTCAATCAATCCACGAAGTTGCGCCAACGCACACCATTGTCTTCAGTGAGTTGATATCTCACAACAGACCTGGTTGAACTCTAGTGGTAACGGCTCAGTGATCTAGTTGGTTAGCCGCCTGGGTTCGAATCTCGCGGGGTGCGGGATCGTGAATGCGCACTTCTGAGGAATCCCATGCTAGGACGAAAGGGCCATCCAGTGCTTCCAAGTTTTTTATGGTGGTCTAGCTTCAATTGACTCATGATTACAATCAGTGAAATTTCTAAAATCTCCACAGAAACCCTTCTAATAATAATCATCTGCTCACTAGTGATTGACTTAAAGAGATACTCCTAGAGTTCTAGTGAGAAGCCGTTATCAGTGGAGTTCAACCAGGTCTGTTGTGAGATATCAACTCACTGAAGACGATGGTGTACGGTGGCGCAATTTCGTGGATTGATTGAAGTTAGAAATCAACACCGATGGATGTCGGCTCAGTGGTCTAGTTGGTTAAAAACCAGAAAACACTGGAAAACTCTTTCGTCTTCGTATGGGATTATTGAGCAGTGAATATTCAGGATACATGGAGAAGAATAAACTGAGGACCTTAAGATCTCACAGTAAGTCCTTAACCTTTAGACCATTGCATCAATATTCTATAGTTTAGATTTATAATTCCTATAGTTTCGTGATGTAGCTCAACCATCTCCCAATATAATTGTAGGACAACTGAATTATACCCGATATAGCTTAGTAATGTCAATAACATGAGCTAAATGAAGGTGCTTTTTATTTCGTTGTGTTAAAAGGTTTTGAAAGACTTTGTGAATAATTAGAAGGATTTTAAACCCTACCTGAACTTAAGGAACATTTAATGAGATCATTAATATTTTCACACAATGTTTCATTCTAGAATGTTGTAAGGAGTGTAGTCAATATGCTAGCAGGTGTTTTTTTAGAGAAAATATTTATCAGTAATAAATAAGGAACGCTAACAGTTTGGGAGATAAAAAAAAGTATACTAATCAGTAGTCTAAATTGTAAAAAATATGGAATGGAAGTAATTATTCTATTTTAACAGTAAATAATCTTCCAAAAGAAACAGTTCAGTAAGTATTCAGAATTATCTTTACCTGATTAGTTTTCCCAAGACAGAGTTGGATGGAGAATGCTTATGAGCGGCCTATGCTCCTCCATAAGGAGTAACAGGTGTGAGTAAGTGAGATTACCTTTAATGAATTTCACTGATTAAAACATTTATTCTATTTCTTAGTACGTTATCATTTACAGGAGATGCTTCTCTCATATGCTCAATGGTGAAGTAACCAATTTCACTCTCGCCCACCTCTTGAAGGTATTATATGCGTTACTCTTTTGTATTAACACCATATATATTGGTCTGAGTACAACATCTATGAGAGAGAGAGAGCTCAGTATCACTGTAGTTAAATTCTGTCTTTTCAGGCCAATTTTTACTATCAGTATGGTCGTTAATAAGGTTCTGTTCCTTGTAAATAAATAGTTTGTCTGTTCATGAATTCGATAGCTTGAGAACTGTGGATATTATGTACATATAAACAAGTGAGGAAAAATAATTATACATAACTGGAGAGAGTAAACTATCTATTTTCCTATTACATTTTCTTTGATATCAGCTGTGGTTCTTTTCCTCTACATTCATTTTAAGTCTTAGATATCAAAAACGTTTGTTATCCAAATAATATTGGTCATTACAATTAACAACCAGCCATTCTTTTCGGATAAATCTGACAGTAGCAGTATTTTATCATTTATTCTAAGAGAAAAAGCAATTATGGGAACTAGTTATCTCTGAATTAAAAATAACTCCTCGTTTATCGATCAACTTATTTTTTCTTCTATAAAGTGCATTTAGGACAGACTTTCTATTCCTAAATTAAATTGTTTAATAGAAAAACTCGTGTAAATCAATAAGTAATATATTACTTATAGGCGAAAAAATGTTTATTTGTCTACCATAAATTTTTTAATGCTGTTGTCAGAATTACGAGTCAACCACACTTGAACAGACATATTGGGCAAACAGCGAGAAAATGTTCTAGAGCATTTGGTATATATTTGTATGTGTTTATATGTGAAGTGAGAGAAACAGAGCAGTCGCACTTATACACATTTATTGTTTATTCACTTCTGGGAATATATTTCTCAAAGAAATATACCAATTCTTTCTCTCGATTATGTATTCCTATTGGTCTTAACAGAAATATGTTGTTCTTAATATGTGTTTAAGAATTGTATGTGTGTGTTATTAGATATTTTTCTCTCACAATGTTACCCCCTTCGACTTTATTATTTATGTAAATGCGACACAATACATGGTAGCGCTAGAAGTAACGAATCATGGAATAGGTACCGATGTATTTACTTCTTTCTGATTGGTTAATTTGTTTACTAGTTTGACTAAAATCCGTTATGGCAGTAATTGTTTATTAACAGTGACACCAATGAAAGTTTGTTTGGTATTATTTTCCTCATTCCCTTGCTTAACATTCCCTATTTCTTGATTTCCCACTAGAAGGATTATTTGTATGAGTGTTACATGGATGTTTGTTATTCTGTATATATTTTTTGATTTTATAAACGCCGCATATTTTAGTAGACAAAATGAATGAATACTTTTTTTTATCTACATTTATAATAGCAACCTGAGGACAATCATTTTGGTAGGTAGTTTACGGTTGTGTCATTGGATTATTTTTGTTCAACATGAAAACAAACATGGAGAACTGAATTTACTCATCAGTTCCTACTAGTGGTCCAATCATAATCACGGACACGTGAACAGCTAAATTACCTGTTTTCTCGCACACAAGCGAACAGACCCATATACGTGTATATACACACACTGTACATAATACGTACACCCCTTGCAAATCAAAATCCCACCACTCAAATATTCTAACTAGTGAATTTGACAGAGATAGGTTATAATATCCAGTGGAAGCATACAAATATTTCCCCATCAAAAAACTGTTAACCGAAAAATATAAAAAGTTAGTCAGTTATTTATTTATTGAGTGGGTGGAAATACATCATTGTTATTAACACGTTTCATGTTATTTCATCTTTGATCATTACCAACCATCATCATAGCCATTCGTCTTGTAACAACGTGCAGTAACTCATTTGGGATACTTTTTTATGAAAAGAAAAATACAACTATCATCAATCATTTTTCACAGACGATAATTCAAACTTGTCAAAATGATATTTACGTATTTCCTATTTCCTTCCTTTAAATAGAAAGATAATTTATCATTCTGTATGCATAAATACATACAAATACACACATACCCATAAATACATATATACACTTACTGATTGTAGACAGACAAACATATGAAGGTAGTAACGATATTCGGTCTTATTATATCTTTTTGTTTTAATGAAGAAAAAAAAGACTTATACTTTCTTGTCTAGATAGATTATTCTACAACATTTTGACATGAGTTCATTGTTACACTGACATATTGTTATAATATTGGAAGAATTCATATGGATCCTTTTCAGTTAAATTATATACTTTATATGTATGTATATATTTATATAAACAATGTCCGTCATCATCATCATTATTGATTTTTGTTTACGTTACAATCATTTCTAAAATTACCAATATTCTCATCCCATGAGTTCGAGGTAGCTTGTTAGAAACTTAGTAATAATAATAATAATAATAATAATAATAATAATAAGATTATTATCATCATTACTATACTACTCTCAATTGTTGTCAAGTGACATTAAATATCTATCAATAGTTTTATCAAACAAATGCAAAAAAATATTTAACAATGAACAATAATTGGAATATTGAAATTCGAACGCAAATTTAAACGACACAATATGATTTACAATTTGGTATTTGGAATTTTTGTTATTATTCAAAAGTTATTCAATTAAACCGATCCAAAGTGTGTGTGTGTGTATGTATTGTATTTATGGTAGTTTTGTACATATGAATATTTTATCATTAATTTGAAAACAAAAAAAGCGAGACAAAACATCGAAAGTTTATATTTACATAATGATTCAAAGGATTATCATGATTCTATTATTTTTCTATATCATTACGGATATTAATTAGTAACTTAAAGAACATTGCATAGAACTGAGTACTATCAGGTAAGATATATTAATTATTATTATTATTATTATTACTGGCATTTCGTATATGCACAGAGTGAATAGCAGATCTTTTTAAAAAAGAAGGTAATCCTTATTTCTCAAAACTGTTGTTGCAAAAAGAGATAGACTGAAAAACTTATTTGTAGTATAAATGAATTTTTTCAAGACTATGGATATCCATAATTTTGATTAATGTATTTCCACTTTCTTGTAAGTAATGACAGAAATTGTTATACATTTTACAGTACGACACCTGATAAGGATTATGATGCTTCAAAAAACTATATGTATCTATAGTATATACATGTATACAAATACATCTTATTAAACATGATGGTTAATATGATAATCTCATCAATATGTAATTGGTGCATTAGTTTAAACTAAAATTCACAAAATAATATTTTTCATGGCATTTCATTTGCTATTGAAATAAGTTAGTAACTATATTAGATTTTATACTGTTATGTAAGTATTGTAAAGACATAATCTTAGAAACATTTCTATTTGATTACATGAATTCTAACTTGTTTATGTCTCATTCTATGAAAATAATCATAAGGTGAACAATATGAATAAGTGGTTTATATGTGGGATAGCATGACATTTTTCCGATATTTGTAGAGGTTTTAAATGTTCATTCACACAATGATTAACTTCGGTTAATAATCTAATTTGATTGTTATCCCTAACCAGCTTAATTTAAATAATTGCTAAAAATCAAGAAGTATTGAAAAGCTGTTCTGTTCTAGCATGTGACTTTTTAGGGACTCAACTAAGGATAGAAATGTGTAGAGTTTGAGGCAGTTACCTATAAAACACAATGAAATATAGTTGCTCAGCATTACAAATTATTTGAGGTTATATATGAAAAACACTGGTTGTCAAGTCATTGATCTAAAAGCCAAGCTCTTGTTCTGAGACCTTGAAGTCCTGAATTTGATGTCCGGTTGGGCTGCGATGTGTTCTCTTGATGAGTGCCATACTAAGATGGAACAGTTACCCATTGTTTTCTACCTTCCAGTGGTTATTTAACATATATTAGCTCATGATCCTAATAATATTCAACAGTTCCCAAAAGCTTTCACAATGATGATGAGTTTAATCGAATGAAAAATTGCAACAAAAAACTGTAGTGTTAAACAACCTCATTTTAAGAATCATTTATTATTGTTTTGAGAAATAATGTATTATTACTGATCTATAGAATAACTAATATTCAAGTTTTTCTTAACGTTAATTAGCAAAAAAACATCTTTTCAATGTTTAACAAACACTTTAGCTGATGTTGACATTGTCCTATATATGGGTAGAATGTTAACGATTTTCTAATTATTTCGAACTGAAAGTTATACAACGGAGAAATAAACGGAAATAAAGCTCAACAACCGAATACAAATTTCATATATATATTGAGCAACAATATGTTTACGTGAATTACTTGAGAGGTAATAAATGTTATATCCTACTGATTTTAAATTTAAGTACTTAAATTATTCGAAATAGTATTCCATAGGATAGAATCAAACAGGTTTATTGAAATATTGTTTGGTATATTCTTCCAAAAAAGGAGTATAAATGAAAGTAACGTACTAGGTGAATCTTCAACGAATTATCCACAACTTCTTTTACATTTCTATGAAAAATCGAGATGTACTGTTTGACAACCATCGGAATACATAACTTTATTATCGAGTTGAATAAATTATGAACTTTCTGAAAAAAAAAACGGTTACAGGTTCAGAAAGACACAGTTTTACTAACAGTCATTCTACTAGATTCCAATTAGTAACTAGGCATTAATTCGCATTTCTAAGGATTATTTTTGAATCCTGTTGCATTTCATATGGACATTATGTGAATTAGTTTGTTTGCTATTAAAATATAAAGAAAGATCACCACAATTGAGTCATATTTGTTTCTAGATTACTATTATATTGACATATTATGCATTTGATGGTACACGATTGTTAAACTTTCGATATTTAATCATACTTTTTCAATTTAATGTCTGATTATCAATAGTTTATTAGTTGTAGTCAATCTACAACTTGTAAAATATCTGCAACAAGTAAAATTGATATATCGTATCAGAACAGTGTGATGAAAATAATTAAAGAAACTGTAATAATAATAATGATTAGGAAACTAAAGATTCAACACAGAGAATATTATTGTTTGAGATGTTGGATAAGATTTTATAGCTTGAAAGGGTGATTTCGATGTCAATTCCATTTTTTGAGCTGAATATTTTGATCGTGAAGTTTTCATTGTCTTTCTAGACAACACCATTGACTCGAAATTCAGGTAGAAATGAATTATGAGAATTTCTCTAAAAGTGACTAACAGCCTATTTGGTTGAACTTGAATTTGATTAGAACGAACTGGTAATCTTTTGTGAAGAAATTCTCGTAATTCACTTCTACCTGAATTGTGAGCTAATAGCATTGTCCAGAAAGACAATAGGAGACCTACGATTAAGTCATTCAGTTCAAAGGACGCAATTTCAACAGAATATTATTATTCTAGAACGAATGGATTTTCGAAGTGCTTCCAGGTTTTCCATGGTGGTCTAGCTTCAATTGACTCATGATCTCAACCACTGAAATATAAAATACTGTTGAATGTATCAGCGCCATTATGATGGATTTTAAGCTATATCACTTAAAATCTTCAACTATTTTTTCCAGTTGTCTCGCTGACAAAACACAATTAGTCTACATTAATCAAAATAGCTCAAAATTACAGTCAGTGATTACCCAGACTGATGATATAACTTTGAGTAGGCACCCTTAACATTATTGTGCCCTAGTTTCAGGCAGTTAAGTCGAAATTAGATAGCTTGGACTTTCCATGATATCGTCAATATTTTCCTAAAATATAATAAAACTGAATTTGTAGTAGTTTGTATTTTCCAGTTGTTGATGTTAAGGATTGCAATTGGTCGATCTCCATTATCATTGGTGGATCATAAGCAGATTAAGTTTATGTTAACATTTAATCACAAGGTTTTATTAAAGTTAACTTGTAGCTAGCATTAGGATCCGAGCCGCTTTACTGAGAATCAGTACCTCGGTGAATAACACGGTGGAGTTTGAAGCGTTAAATACTGAGTATGAGTCTCACTGTATATATTAGTATTGAGATGTAAGTATATCAGGCTGGCGAGTACTAAACTTTACAGAATTAACTACATGTATTCCATTATTAGGCAGTATTAAAATTTAATCATAAAACTTGGAAGTTATCAAACTGGTTAATTAATTATTTCTAAATAATACTAGTATAAACTATTCTGATTAATAGCAAAATAGAAACATTTAACAATTCACATGCAGTTATAACTTTTGTTGGAAAGTAGAAGTTTTCATTTAGGATTAACTTGTGGATTTTTCATAAGATTTAAAGTTCAGCCAATTTTGATTTTAATTAACAAACTCTGATTAATACTCTGCTAGTATTTTCAGTCAATATTATAATGAATAAAAGCTGAAACTATATACATAAATTGGAATTTAAGTGATAAATTAAAAGAGGAGAAAAACTTACTTGGAAACAAGAACGATAAATTTTCGAGTATAGTAGGGTTTTGGCTAGTAGTGAAGTGTAAGAAGTATATTTCATCCTATTTGGGACGCGTCATTTGTATCTACCTGAATCCTAGTGTTGACGTTCAGATTGGATACCTATCTTCCTAAACATCAGGGCATTATCCATTGATCTACTGAGTTCATATAATCATAGACTTAATAAAAATTAAGTCATGAATATCAGCAACGGTAAATACCACTGTTAACTAATTTAATGGCAGAGAATAAGAAAAAAAATTTCGTTGGAATTCCAACGGTAAGTGTGATTATATTACGAAGTCTAGTTTGTAATAAGCTGAGTTATTCACTCATAGAGCGATATGATTATCAACAGACATTGGTGATCATTGAATAGCTCATGTACAGACGTTTTAATCATGTGACTTGTGAGTCATTGTCCACACATGAAGGACGGGAAAAGTAACTACCGTCTGAAGTATTTCATCCCAGGAATAATAAATTGTTGTTTACTCAGTGATTCTACAAATGATAGAAAATAAAGATATTTTTAATAGTTTATTTAAAAAAAACCTAATTACGTCAAAAATGGTGTAAGTATTTTTCTACAATTACATTGTAACACCGATTTTCTATACAATGAAAAAGGTTTTTCAAATCCAATTCTCTCATCCACACAGATCTAGTATAATGATGAACTGCTGTAAGGAGAGATAAGTAGAAATCTTAAGATGTAAGTTTTATTCTGGTTGGCACTCATTAAGAAAGTGTCTCCATAGTCTTTATGAAATTACTGTTCTCTCAGAGATCCAGACACGTATTGACTGCTTCCGACTACTTAATATCAAACAAATTGTATAGTGATTCCCAATCAGTTAGCTTAATCACTGAATTTCAAACATGGTCTATGGAATTCTATTGGCATCAAGGCCTAGTCATCATGAGGTCCGCTTCTACCTAATGACTGATAGACGTAATTTTCCTTTCTATTTCGGTATTCTCTTAAAGACATTATTAACTATTTATGCTTATCATAGTTAACCGTTTGTTTGCAGTATCGTTGTTTCAGTACAAAGATTGGTCAGATTGACTTTCGTTTTTTTTCTCTAAGTGAAACATAAAGATTTTTATCACAAACTAGATGTTTTTAGATTTATGATTTAGATATGAACCATTGAAGAAATTCACATTGGTTTATACAGAGTCAATGTATAGTTTGTTTACTATTATTGTCTGTACTTATCTTGATAAATTATATCATTAAACAGAAAGATGACATAACTTCTGAAACCACTGTACATCTATCTGTCAGTTTCTCCCCTTGTCTTGTTTCTATTTTAATAAGGTTACAACATTAAGGTAGCATAACAGATAGAATAATGTTTAAAGCCTAATAATACACGCTAACTATAATCTAAGAGTAATAAAGAGCTCTAGTCAAAATATTTA